TCTGCCCGTTCTGCCCGGCCTCCTCCTCCTCAGGCACCTGTCCTGCAAGGGAACGGCCACGGTCAGAGGGGGCAGCAGAGCCGCCATGGATCCTGCTCCTGTTCCTGTGAAGGGCGCAGGAGAGAGATCCCCAACGATGTGCAAAGCTGGGTGTTGGGGAAGGTGAAACAGGAAAGCCTTATAAATATGATTGCCTGGCAAAAGATTTTGAGAATATGGAAACTGTAAGTGAGATTGAAATGAAAGCAAGCTCTGAGATCCCTTAGTTACTGAACAACAGGAAAATAATGGCGTGGCTGAAGGCAACCCCCTTTTGATGGAACACCCTCTGCTTGCTGACAGCTCCAAGGGTCAGAGCAGACCCTACAGCTTGGCAGAAGGAGCCCAAAGAGGAGTTTTTAGGGTTTAAAATGTAGCACAGTATGGTAATGTAATGATTCTTATAGGCAGTATGCAAATGCTATAGGACTTGTATATTGTACTAGATTGGTTAGTGAGAATTAGAATATTCAATACAGAAGATTTATTGTATTGTAATGGGAACCTCACTCTCTTACCCCTTTTACTCTCTTATGCTTTTGCTCTTTTACCCTCTCATCCTCTCTCCCCCTCTCTCCTCTCAGTCCTGCTCTGAGCAGTGCCTGGCAGCTCCCAGCAGGGCCCTGCACCCAGGTCCTTTGCAATAAACCCCAAATTCCATGACCTGGCTGCAGAGATCTCTCATCTCCATCCACCCTGACCATCCTACCCCCAACACTCCTACAGCTGGGAGCCTGAGACTGCACCTGTGCCCTGCCCCAGAGCTCAGGCAGCAGCTCAGCTCCTCTGGGAGCAGAGGGGCAGCAGTGCACGAGGTCACCCCTCTTTCCTCCTGCCTTCTGTGCAGGTCCCAGCCCCAGGTACCAACTGGGGGCACCCAGGGGCTGGGTGTGTTTGCAGCCTCTCCTGGCAGGGGTTCAGTGTGTCACTGTCCCCTGAGGGAACACCCCATGGGTGTCATCAGCCCTTGCCCCTCCTCAGCTCCGTGTGACTCAGCAGAGCAGGTGAAGAGCCATTTCCAGAGGCATCTCCTGCTGCCACAGCCGGGGTTTGGGGCACATCCCCTCACTCAGGGCGTGACACAGGGATGGGGCTGCATCCCAGGGTGGGATGAGCAGGAGCAGGGAGCAGCCCCCAGCCCAGCACAGGCTGAGGAGAGGCTTTGCCAGGCCCTGGGCTCCCCCCCCACCGGATCCAGCCGAGGCAATTTCCTTCCAGCAGGAACGTCACGCTCCAGGGCCCTTCAGTTATGACTCAGAGGTTTGAGTGGAAGCAAAGGCTGTAAGACGATTATGTATAATTTTCTTTAAAGGATGCTCAATCCTTTCTCTGCCAAGGCTGGGCAGGACGTCAGCTCCGCTTGCGCCAACCATCACCCCACTGCTGGCACCTGGGGGGGCACAGGGCTGCTGGGAGAGCTGCTGCTCCTCTGGGGAACACATTGGGGGTCCCACCTCAGACCCCTGTGCCTTGCCACTGCCAGAGATGGGGAGGGATGGGTGTATCCTGGGTTACACATACAATTATTTCCTCCTGGATCTCCCCCTGTACCCTCCCAGTGTTGCCACAGCTCCCAGTCACTGCCTTGGGGCTGCTTACCAGAGCATTCCTGCCATGAGAACAGACAGGGACTGACTGACCAGGGACAGCTCCTGGGGGCTGGCAGCCAACCCTGGCACTGCTGGAGCTGGTGGCACCTGCAGTGGCACCACAGCTCCTGGCCCAGCCCAGCTCACCACAAGGGATTGCAGTGATGGGGGTGCTCTGGCTCCCAGTGTTTCTGGCACTCAGGCAGTGACTGACACAGCAGGAGGATCAGGAGCACAAAGCTCATGGATTCCTCCAGTGCCTGATCCCTCTGGAGCCCAGAGGAACCACCAGCAACCAGCTGATGGCTGGAGAGGGCTCAGGGATCCAAGTTCTAGAAGAGAAACATGGGAGACCAGAGCCTCCAGGCATGGGGCTCCCATGGGTCAGGCTGCAGCACCCCAGAGCTCCAGGTTTTTCTTGCCATCCCTCCATCCCACCAGCACAACTGCAGAGCCTCAAACAACCCCATTCAGAGCAAAGCTGAGCACTTCTCCTTCCCCTCCCTCGGCTGAACTCGGGCCAAGTCAATTAACATTTCTGACTGGGGAGGGAAAAAGAATCTATCCAAACAGCTCACTTGTCTTTTGTGTGACTCTTCCCTCCTCCCCTCCTTCCCCTGCTTCAAAAGCACAGTCCCGGGAGTCTATTATGGATATCAAGGAGGGAGGTGAATCGTGAGCTAATTTTACCTCCTTCACCAATGACAGTTGCTGACGTTCAAATTAATGAAAATAAAAATTCAGCACGGGCTGAAGTCTTGGCAACTGCTGCCCCCGCGGAACCGCTGACCCAGCGCTGTGTCTGCCCGAGCAGCTCCTGCCCACCTCACCCTCACCACCAGCAGGGCTAAAAATAATATAAATAAAGGCAGAGCTGAGAGAGGAACCAGCAACGCGGCTGCTCATCCCTGCTCGTCTCTGCCACCCCTCACATTCTTTAATGGCTCCGCATCCAGCTCATTCAGGCACCAAAAAAGGTTTCAAAATAACACAGCAAAGAGGCTTTGAATTGCTGTTTGTCAGACTGAGCACACAGGCACGGTGAGCAGCCAGGAATGCAGCTTCCTGAGCACCAGGCTTGGCTCAGAAGCTCCAGTCCTGGCTGTGTTTTCCAGCCTCAGAGTGAAAAACGCAAGAGGAGCAGGTGCTGCAGCCGACGAGGGGTTAATGTAGGACAGGAAAGAGCAGAGCTCAGCCTCTAGACCTGAGGCAGCACAAAAGCACCAGGCAAGACCAGGATGACCACATCCCTTCACTGCACAAGATGGGGAGAGGATTGTGCCTCCAGGCCACAGCCATCCTCTGCTCCATCCTCTCTGGATGGGATGTTTAACACCGATTGAACCAAGGGCTTGGAACATTTACATCTCCCCACAGAGCTGCATGAATCTTTAAATAACCCTTTAAAAATGAAAGCACTTCCTCAAAGCCCCTTCTTCCTCTGAAGAACACAGGATTTAATGAGGTTTCCTCTTTCCCCCCTCCCTCTCAAACCCAACAGCCACCCCCAGCCATGAGTCACTCACACTCCTGCTCTGGCTGCCCAGCAGAGCCACAGCTGAACTCATCCCCCATGTTCACGGGGGCTTTTCATTTATATTTTAATATGGGATCACTGGGCAGGTTCAAAGGGATGCTGCAGGAAGATTTTGGTGGAAAAATTCACATTTATTCCCTCTGCAGCTGCCCCCACCTCTGCAATGGCTCACAAACCCACTGAGGGTCTGTGCTGGGACCCTCCTCACCCCGCTCCTCCCATGAGTGTTGAGGGGATTCCTGCCCACCACAAACTCTGCACATCCCACCTCAGCAGCCCCTCTCATCCTTTAGGTCTCTAATTCCTCTGAAACAGCACAAGTTACATAGAGAAAATGGAAGATCTGCCTGTCATCTGCCATGACAGCTCTGATTTGGGTTTAAACGCTGCTGTTTGTATGAGGAGGGTGAAATTCTTGGTGTCAGTGCTCCCAGTGTGATCCTTAACCTCAGATACCTGCCTGCATGGGGCTCACCCTGCTCAGCTGGGATGGAAATGGAGCTGGGGAAGGCAAGGACCAGCCTGGGACCATGGGATCCCCCAGGTGTGCCACATACCCTGAAGGCAGAGTCATTTCAGGGCTCTGCTCACAAATAACTCATTCCAGCAAAACTGGTCCAAAGAATTAACTGTGCTGAGCAGCAGAGCCCAGCAGCAGCTGTTGGTGGGAGATGGGAGGAAGCTGGCACAGGGGTAGCACTGGGATGGGCATCCTGATTGATCAAATCAAGGACTGAGCAATCTGGAGCATCAAGGCTCACTCACACCCTTCTACAACCCAGAATCTCCTCTGCTGAAAGGATCATTCACACCTCAAAGCCTTTCCTTAAAAAAGCTTTAAACCCCCCAAAAAAATCCCTCACAACCACTTCTCCCCTACCTGGTACTGTGAAGTCCTGAGTGTAGATGATATCATCTTCAATGTCATACAAGTCATCATCCTCTTCCTCATTGTAGCCATGCAGATCCTCCAGGTAAGGCACCGCCGTCATGCTCCTCCACCTGTCCTTTGTCTCAGGGCTGGGAGGGATGGGCACCAGCGCCTCTGCCTGAGCATGTTTCTTCCTAAACCAGCTGCAGAGAGCCCGAGGGCAGAGCTGGGTCAGTACACAAGGCATGCAGGAGTTCTCCAGTGAGGGTGGCCCCAGCCCACCTGGATACTCAGAGCTGGGAGTTCCACCCGTGCCAGGTAAGGAGAAAACAAAAGGTGTGGGCAGGTGTCAGGATTGGGACACACTGGGATAGGACAGAACAGAGGGACAGACACAGAGGGAAGCTCAGGACCTTTTTCTCCATCACCAACTCCAGCCCAAAATACCTGTAAGTCAAAACAAACCAGCAGAGCTGCCAGAGCTCCTGAGTTTTGTTATCCAAGCAAGCAGGACAGAAGGAACTTCCCCTGTCCTCAAGCTGAGGCTGATCCAGCCCAACAGACACAAATTTAAAGATCTCAGCCTGAGAGGGGCACTTACTGCAGCAGTTTCCTCTAAAAGCCAGTTTGCACCAAGGCCACAGCAGAAATGTGAATACTTTATCTTTTTATCCCCCCCTGTCTCAAGGGACTCCTATCACCACCAAACCCTGTGCTGCCATCTGGCCAGGAAAGGATATCTGAAAGCTGTTCTTAATCAGATCAAGGAATCCAGCAGGCTGCTTCCAGCAGCATCCCAGAGCCAGATGGGATAAACCTCTTAGGTTTTCATTGTGCTCCCATAGCACAACTCTGACTCCAGACTGTCTGGGACATCTCCCAGTGCTGCATGTGGGCACCCAAAGTTTCCTGGAAGGCTGCTGGAGCCTTCCACCCTCCCAATGACCCCCTAAATGTGGGTGGGAGCAGAAGTTTCTCCAGCCTCAGGTACCTCTAACACAACTTTGCAGCCCACATGAGCCTGATGGGACACAAATGCTTCCCACCCTGCAGTTGGCATCCTGTAAACTCCTGGCCTCCAAGCATGGAGGAGGGCCTGAGCCAGCCCAAGAACTCTCACCAACCTGAGCCATCTGGTTTTTATCACCCCAGTTCCAAATTCCTTTCAGGAAGGAAGGCTGAAGGCACCTCCTGCGCAGAGCTGTAATTATCATTTTGTTCTAAGTCTTACACTGCTTTGACAGCCGGCCTAAAAAAAAAGTGGGATTCTAACAAAACTATCAGGGAAAGGAGAGGAGTGAGGAGATAAACAAATGGAAATGCAGCTACTGGGACAAATCAGGCAGGATTCAAGGGAGGGGTGAATTCTCATCCAGAAACTGCTTCACCATTAGCATCTTAAAACTGTTTTTTCTCTGCAGCAATGGAGTTTTGCAGCCTCTTGTCTGCAGGGAGGAAGGTGTTGTTTGGGAAGAGGGATAGAAACTGCTTCAGATCTCATCTGAAAACTGTCACCTCTAGTTCCTGAAGGGGCACTATAGGAATTAAACAAAGCCCATCCCAGCTGCTGGACAACATAACTCTGACCCAGGGCCCTTCCCAGATCCATGGATGGCTTCCTTGGTGACGTGCATGGCACACTGCTCTCCTAATGGGATCAATCCATTTCTCCTCCTTGGAGGCTGTGTTCATTGAGGAAATGACTGCCAAGACAGCAAACCCAGCCTGGGCTGCTCCAGCCTGGCAGGATCAGCAGCACAGGGCCAGAGGAACCACCAGCAACCAGCTGATTTTGCCAGAGGCACTGGGGCTTGAGGGATCCAAACTCCACACCAGAGACCTCAGGAGAAGGGAATATCCAGGACAAATGAGATCAGAGTGATGGCTGCTGAAAGGAGAATTTTAAAGGGAAAAAAAAGCCTGGAAGTCTATGGCAACTGGTGTTTTTATTTTGCTGTATTTCAGCTCTGCCTCACTCTTCCCTCCTGTCCTACTTACCAGGAGAGTAAAAATAGGTTTTTATTAGCAGCAGAAACCTGAATCACTGTACTCCAGTCATTATGCTTCCATCCTCTGGGAGGTGATTTCAAACACTTGCATATGCATATATGGTAATGAGGATAGAGAGTGAAAAGAGAAATCCATTGAAGTTCTAAGAAAAATCAAAGACCTCTTGGAAGGAGCCTTGAGCAATTCTGTATGGAGTAGTGGAGTATTTGCTGGCAAGGATTTTCCAGCAGGGACAGACATTTTGCTTTCTGTGCTGGTGCTGGAGGTTGTCACTGAAGATTTGCTCCTCAGCTGAGGACCACTGACTTTTGGAACTGGAAACCAGTTCCAGAACTGGCCTGAGCCAGAGAGCAGCAGCTCCTGGTCAGTGATGGCCATGAGATAAAGCCTCTCCTCAACCCTGCCCTCACCACAACCCCACACATGGGCTGGCTCAGAGCACTGCTGATGAATGTTCCACCAGTTATTCCCAGTTTCAGGGATGTTTTCTGAGCCAACTGCACTGGCACACTCACAGTTACCTGGTGCTTGTGGCAGCTGCTTTAACCTTGAGGGCAAAGAAAAAATTTTGCATCTCAGAATTGCCCCCTGTGCACAACATCCCTCTGCAAGAAGCAGATTCCTCTCTGCTCTATGCTTCAAAGGCCTGGGAGTGGCTTAAAATGCTTCAGAGTGAAGGCAGCAGTAGTAAGGGATTATTTCTTCCTATTCCACAAGCTCATTGAGGAGCCTGCAAAGCTCAGAAGCCCCAGGCAGCAGCAGCACAAGTGTTAATTGTGATCCTGCTAGGCAGAAGTGGCCAGACAGCTGCTATCAAGCACAGGGAGATAAGACACCAGGGGTCAAGGACTGAAGGAAAAAAAGGAATCTGGGTTGCCCAGTGCTTAATGAGCCTGTTTGGTTTGCAGCTCCCAAGCTCAGATCTCCCATCACAAGTCCTCCCTCTGCTCTTTTCAAGTCCTGGTATAAGCAAGGTTAAAATAAGAATCTTGTAAGCACAGCTGCAGCTTTCCAACACTCCCAGCTATTCACTTCCCATTTGGGTCACAAACATTGCACTTGGCTTGGTTTGCACAGGGATGGTTTTCTCTGAGAGCAGATGCCAAGCTGCAGATCCCTGCCCTGCCAGCCAGGGTCAGGATGAGCAATTCTCCACCTCCTGTGATGCCATGTAAGGGCCTCGAGCTCCCTGGAAGGTCACTGTCACCACAAGCAGCAATGAACAGGGCTCCAGTTTAGCTCAGCTCCCTCACAGGCAATTGTGGAAAGCACACAATGTCCCAGGGAGAGGCAACACACACACACAGCAGTGTTCCTGCAATCACATTTCCTCACACAAATTCCCTGCCCTACAATCCCCATCCCAGCAGCACCAAATTTTTTTTTTTTGATATATATATATATATATCTATCTATATATATATATATATATATATATATCTTGCTGGATCAAGAGACATCCAAGCTCTTCAGTGAGGTTCAGAACAAACAAAAGTATGAAAAGCAGCTCCTCCCAGCTGAGAGCAGCACCAAAGGTAACAGAGATCTGTATCAAGAGATGTCCAAGCTCTTCAATCAGGTTCAGGACAAACAAAAGTATGAAAACAGCAGCTCCTCCAGGCTGGGGGTAGCACCAAAGGTAGCAGACAATGGCTCAGACTCCTGCAAGAAGTTCTGGAGATTCAGTCCTTTAACACAAAATGTTACAAAACTGATTTGCAGAAGGTGGGTAAAAGAAGGAAAGATCCCTTCCATGCAAATTGAGCCAGGTGCCTCAGGAAGGAAGAGGAATGCTTCTTTGTGTCCTGGCACTACAGAGAAGGGATGGGGAAAGCCCACAAGTGCACAGGCAGCAGCAGAGGCTCAGAGAAGCCTCTCTCCCTCCCTCAAACACAGCCCAGCAGCACAGTCAGCCCCTGCAAAGGAGCCCTCAGCAGCACCACAGGGATTTCCAAGGGGTTTGGCACCCAGGTTAGAACAGCACAGCATCCCAGAGCCCACAGCAGCTCCAGGAGGAGAGCCCAGCCTGCAGTGAGGTTAATTTGCACCTCCACTAACAAAAAAGTGGAAGTGCCTCCCCTCTCGTGCTATGAACTCCTGCAATGGGATCTGCGCCTGAACAAATTAAGTGTGACACTTTGTAGAGAGGGAAGGGAAGATGGTTACCTTGGAAACAAGGGACAGAGGTAGAATTCTGCATCCACTTCATCACTTGAAGTGCTGCAGCAGGTCAGTGAGTTAGTAACAAAATGCAGTGTGTGAGCAGGAAATCCTTCAGCAAAAGCACAGGGCAGAGGGGAGGCGGTGGATAATCCACAGGGAGGAGGCTGGAACTCCTGAGATCTTGGCAGTTTTTCCTCCCTGCCCTACAATCCCCATCCCAGGAGCACCAAATATTCACAGAGTTGAGCTATGAGCACTGGTTTTCCACTGAACATCATTCCACTCAGATCCTTCCAGGGAAAGCAGGTTTTCAGGCTCTTCCACTGCTGCTTCAGGGGCTGGTTTCTGGCAGTTCCTAAATTCTGAGATGACAGGCTGGGAGAAGTTGAACTCATTTCCATTTCCAGCTCCAGGTCTGCTCTGCATGGACTGGGCTGAACAGAGCAGCATTTTGCTTTGTCCCACTCCAGTAAAAGTGCAGAGACAGGAGTTTGATGCAGTTCAGCTGCAGGAGTGAGGAGGGAGGAAAGCAGCTGGCAGGGATGAAACTCAGCAGACTCTTCCTCCAGCATTCCTCTGCTGCTGCAGGGGCAAAAGCATTTGGAATAGCTGACAGGAACGATGGGAGGAATGGCTGGATTACCATTGCTGGGCTGCCTGGATGCCTTCCCTGCCTCCTGCAGCTCTGCTCCCTATGGAACAGCACCCTGTGCTCCCTTGGTGCTTTCTCAGTGCCTCTGATTTTATCCCTGATCCCACTGCAAGGGCCTTCACACTTGGTGGAAGTGGGGAAGGATGGATGCTGGGACACTCACACAAGCTCTGTGATGCTTCCCTTGGGACCACTGTCCCTTCCCACCATCCTGACACCATCCTGAGTGCAAAACCCCTGCCTGGGGCCCAGGGGCTGCTGCTGCTGCTTTCAGAGCACTTTGATGATCCTCTCTGTCCATATGAGTGAGTCCCCAGGAACAGCAGCTCAAAGACATAAAAGGAGACTTCCAGCAGCATAGAAAGGCACGGGGTGATTCTGGTTTGAGATGGGATCCAGCCCAGCAGGGCAGCCTGGGGAAGTTGCTTGATGTTTTTCTGGTTTAGTTCCTGTCCTTAGCACATGTTTTTGCAGGGTGGAGTGTAGAGAAACCCACAATCATTAATGATTTACTCGCCCCAATAGATGAAATCTAAGGGTTCTAGAAATCAAATGTCTCCTTACTAAAGTGCTTTCCCAATCCCTGAATGGCTGCCTGCTGTCCTGACTGCTGTGTTCCATTTACAAAAAAAAAAAAAAAACAGGGTCAGGTTAAGCATCAGGGCTAAGCTTCTATTTAAAGAAAAGGCAGGAGAACCAAGCTCTGGATTCTTTAGCACAAAAAGAAGCTAGACAGACACATCCAGGGCCCAGGCCACAAGCTCTGCTGTGCTTGATGTAATTACTAGATGCCACAGCAGGAGGAAGGAGGCAATTACCAATAGGGGAGAAAAGCCTGTTAAAAAGCACTGGCTAAGCTCACACAAAACTACTAAGAGCCTAAGCCTTAGAAATGCTCCTGGTTTGCAGGTAGAGCCTTTCCTCAGCCCCTCTTGGTGCTGTGGGATGAAAAACCTCAGCACAGCAGCTGAGGAGCTCGGTGGCTGCCCTGTGCTCCAGTTTCTTCAGCTTTCTAACTACAGGCAGCATCTCTGGAGACCCCTCTGTGCTTCCAGCTGGGCAACACTGACACAAAAAAATCACTGCCGTGTGGGAGGAGGGCAAAATGGAGAATGTGGAATTGGGGAAGCAGCTCAATCACCTGGCAGTGACCCATGAGGGCCCAGGGCAGCTCCTGAGCTCAGGGGTGGCCACTGCAGCCACAGGAAAGGAAGTGCTTTTAGTGCTTTTCTCCACACCCACTGATGACTCCACAGATTAATTCCTGCTTCTTTGCAGTGCTTCCTGATAAAGCATGGCAAGCTGGTGCCCTCTGGTCATGGCCACTGGTGCTGGGAGGGAAAGGCAGCTTTGAATGGGAGATGCCTGTGCCCAGAGCCCCTGAAACAACCCAGGCATGGGGCCTGGCTACTACAAAAGAGTCCTTACAATTAATTAATCACCTGGGAAGCTCCATAAGCCTTGCCTCCCCAGCTCTGCTTGCACCCTCGTCCCTAAAATCCCTGTTGGAGGTGGTGCCATTCACTCCCTGCAGAATCCCAGTGCATTTCAGGCCTGGCTGTGCCTCCTTGGGCACCATCACCTGACAGCACATTGCTTTTCCAAAAACACAAGAGTAAAGGAGTGCTGTTCCTGCAGCATGGAGTGGACTCAGCACCACCCTGGATCACATCCTTGCTTTTACAGCTCCCAAAAGGATCAGGGAAGGCTCAGGGGCCAAGCAGCTGCAGTCCAGAGGCAGCTCTGCCTGTCCTCAGAAGCACTTCCCATTCCAAGAGCAGATAAGCTAATGCAGCCTCCGCAGTGAAGCAGCCTCATGATGCTTTTTGTTCTTGTACTTTTATCCGCCCAGGAAATCTCTGCTCAGAGCCTGCATGTTCAAACAGATCCTTAAAAAAACCCCTCAGTGATAACGGGGCATTTCCCCCCCTGACTATGGCACGGAAAATGGGGGAGGATATGGGGGAGGGAGGACTGTGATATTAAAGAGAAAGAAAAAAAAAATATTTCCTATTGTCCTGGAACGCTTTTCCACATGCTGACTCCATATGGAGCAAATACCAGGGGATATTTCTGTCCCCAGACTGGCCAGAACTAACACACATTACTGAACAGTCCTACTATAATAACACAGCCTTCAGGACCTCCTGTTCTGCTCCATTAGGACTTGCTGGCCCTCTGGAAAAAATTATCCAGAACCCTTAATTATCCAGAAGCAGGCATGCCACAAACAGACTTCCAACATATTCCTTATTTACTGCTTAGCAATTCCAGTGCTCCACCGGATGCTCTAATGGGAGGAAAAAAGCCAAGTGGAGCTTGCCAGAGCCCCAGCAGAGCTGGAGGAAGGAGATATAGTGACTTGCATGTGTCTGCTGTCAAAAGGAAAACAGAAAGTGAGAGCAGGAGCACAGGTAGAGGAGGAGCAGGAAGAGAACACTCACTTGTGCTGCCTTATCTGCTGTATTGAGAACCTCTTGGCTGGGTCGTATTCAAGCATTCCTGAAAAGAAGAAAACAGGTCCAGGTGTGATCACAGGCACTCTCAGCTCACAAAGCTCTGCTCTTCCCTCCCTGACAGCCATGCTGTGCCCAGTCCTGGCAGGATTTGCTCTACCAGCCACAGGAAACTCAGCATAAAATGCCAATCCCATTGCTGACCTGTTCCAGTCTGTCCCACCTGCAGGTACAGCCCATCCCTCCCTCCCAGTGCAGGGACTGAGGCTTGTCCAGCCCTCAATCACAGCTCCAATCAAGATTTTTGCATTTCAGAGAGAATTCCATTGAACCTCCTCCATGGAAGAGCCAAACCCCCAGGCACAGCATATGTCCACAGTGTCCCAGATCCTCTGGTCTAGTGAAATTCTATTCTGAGATACAGCAGGGGAGAACAAACAACAACAAAAAAATCATCCTGATGCCCATCCCTGTGCCCTGGCCAGGAATTGGATTTCTGAGATCATCTGCTGATCATTATCACTACACCAATTCCTCTGGTCTAGTGAAATTCTATTCTGAGGTGCACCAGGGGAGAACCAACAAAAAAAAAAAAAAATCATCCTGAGAAAAACCTGGAAAATTCGTAAGAATATAGGCTTGATACTAAATGTCTTTTTCCCCCCAGTCTCAAAAAAAAAAAAAAATCATCCTGATGCCCATCCCTGTGCCCTAACCAGGAATTGGATTTCTGAGATCATCTGCTGAGGTAGCTGGGGTGGGTGGTGAGCAGAGCAGGGACAGGAAAAGCAGCTCATGCCTATTCTCTCTGGGAGAAAGGGAGGTGGATTCCTTAAACAGCCTCCTGGGATGCCCACTCTGCTCCACTGCCTTTCAAAAGCTTCACAACTCAACAGAAGGGAAGGAGAAAATTTTGTCATATTCTTCAGAAATGAGCCCATGGAACCCTGAGAGTTTCATCCAGCAGCATCCAGGATATTCTCCAGTGAAGGTTCCAGGAATATATTCACCTCCTGAACATTAACAAAGCCTCATGGCTGAACACTACAAGGAGTTTTGCTTTTACTGGGTGATCTGTTGCTCCTGAAGCACTGTGAAATCCTGAATAGGTTGCATGAAGAATGAGGGTTTGGAGATGGGTTGGAACAGGAGGAACCCATCACCAGCAACCAGAAAAGTTTGGGAAGCAGCACTCACTGTCAAACAGGAATTCAGAAAGTCAGGACAGGAGCAAAGAGTGCAGAGTGCTGGGGAGAGCCAGGACAAGAACACACTGAGAACACAAAGATGGGGGATAATTGGCTGGACATTTGGGAAGTGAGGGCTGGAAAGACACATCCTACTAAAAATAAAAAGCTGCAAGGGCCCTGGAGGTGAGAACCTACAATTCAAAGGTCATGGAAGAGATAAATCACCACAGCACATGTGATATCAAACTGCTCCAGAACATCTTCCCTGTCACTCTGCTCATATCACATCAGATCAGGGCTTGGGCAAAGAGGGGGGATAGGACAGTACAGTGGGGAAAGACTGAGGTTATTTCACCCCCAGAACCCAAAATACACTTTGCCCTGGAAATTTGGGAAGGTTTATCCATGCTAGTGACAGCATTAAGAGCTTTAAGGCAGATGGGATCACTGCAGATCCACATGACATCACATGAAGGAAGTTAAAGCAATCCAGGAAGAGCTCTCCAGGTCACAGGGCAGAGCCCAATTCCTCACAGTTTTGGGTTATTTGGGCTGGGTTTTGAGGGTCTTTGAGGATGGAAATTCTACAACACCCCCGTCCTCCCCACAAGTGCAACCTGTTCCAGCAAAGGAGTTTTCTCACGTTCAGATGGAATTTCTCCTCACATTACAGAAAAAGAAAGAAGTTCAGAGGAAAAAAACCCCATCCCACACCTAATTAAAGAACCTATTAATAAGATGATCAGACAGTTTCACAGCTGAGCTTCCCAAATGAGTTGGCTTTTTTTTTTTTTTTCTTTTTAAGAAATAGGGCTGCAAAGAGCTCTCACATGAAGATTAGGGGACAAATATTGGTTAGGTTCTCTTATTCATATTATAAGAAACAGGAAGTCAGAACACCACCCACTCCCTCCACTGATTTATTTAAAAACCACACTTCAAGGTGTTTTTGAAATTGAAGGCATTTACCAGATGAAACTGGTACAAGCAGGAGAAGAAGCTGAAGGTAAATGATTAAAAGTGCAGAAGTCACAAACAACCACAGCACAGGGAGCTGTTGCTCTGAAGCCATTAAAAAGGCAGAAAGCAAATAATCGAGCGAAAAGCATTTTTACTTCAATGAAAAATGACCACATTTGGGGCAACATCTGAAAGAAAAGTGTCCTCACTGAAAATGTACATTCATACATTCAGCTCTGAGTCACTCGTGGCAGCTCTGTGGCTCAAGTCCTGCACTGAGAGGCTTCAGCAAGACAAAACATCATGTTCTATTCACCAGGCAAGTCATCCTGGAGCGCCCGCCCGCAGCCGCCGCCGCTCGCGGCCATTTAGGGTAAAGACTTCCCTGGAGTTTATCTGCGAGCAGGGATGGGACAGCCTGTGCCAGGGAATGCTTCAGGAGGCCCAACTCTGAGCTCTGCTCCCCAGAATTCCCAGAGGATTTGCTGTGTGCACACAGGGGTGGCACAGAATCACTGAGTTCAACTTGGGGCTGATCGCTAATTTGTCACCCTGAGGGTCGTGGCCAGGTGTTCTTTGGAGACCTTCAGGGATGAGGGATCCAAACCTCACTGTGTGCCTGAGAACCCTTTCCATGAGGAAATTATTCCTAAAAATATGAAATCCCCTCATTGAGAATTATCAGGTATTAAACTGATAAGAACAGACAACACAGCTGTGCCCAGACAGAGGTATCACGTCCTCTGCAGCACATCAACAGTTTCAAAATCCTTGCAAATCACAAGTGACAACTCAGAAATTGGAGATCATGGATCTGCCCTGAGCTCCTCACAACCCCCAGCCCAACCCAGAAATTGGAGATCATGGAT